GATTGGTAACGTGCTATCAATTCCTTCCCGTTTATAATGTGTCTAGTTAGGAAACTTTGGAAAGGTTAGGAAAGTTTTTATTGTGAAGGTAAAAAAAACAACTTGATGAGATATGGTGGTGGGATGTGATACGAAAATAAACCAGACGAAAATAAACCAGACGAAAGTAAACCGTGGACGCAATCCTACCAACTCAGACATTAGGAGTAGAGAAACTTTGGAAAGGTTAGGAAAGTTTTTATTGTGAAGGTAAAAAAACAACTTGATGAGATATGGTGGTGGGATGTGATACGAAAATAAACCAGACGAAAATAAACCAGACGAAAATAAACCAGACGAAAGTAAATCGTGGACGCAATCCTACCAACTCAGACATTAGGAGTAGAGATTCGTCCATTAGGAGTAGAGATTAAGATTTAAAATTGATTGTCATAAAACTAAATTTTATTGATTGATAACGTGCTATCAATTCCTTCCCGTTTATAATGTGTCTAGTTAGGAAACTTTGGAAAGGTTAGGAAAGTTTTTATTGTGAAGGTAAAAAAACAACTTGATGAGATATGGTGGTGGGATGTGATACGAAAATAAACCAGACGAAAATAAACCAGACGAAAGTAAACCGTGGACGCAATCCTACCAACTCAGACATTAGGAGTAGAGAAACTTTGGAAAGGTTAGGAAAGTTTTTATTGTGAAGGTAAAAAAACAACTTGATGAGATATGGTGGTGGGATGTGATACGAAAATAAACCAGACGAAAATAAACCAGACGAAAATAAACCAGACGAAAGTAAACCGTGGACGCAATCCTACCAACTCAGACATTAGGAGTAGAGATATGTCAAATGGAGGCTTGTGGGCCACTCCTTCGTCTTCCCGTTCCTTCCCAAAGCTTTCAGGGTCACTTATTGCCAGAAAAAATATCCAAAAAGTTTCATGGCATTTGGACTTCGTTTGGTACTAATATTCTACAAAGTCAAAAACATGCAAAAACAACAACTGTCACTGGGCACTAAGTTAATAGATTAGTCCCAAAAATGATATATATATATATATATATATACTTATAAATGTATATAATATAATAGCATGAAACAATAAAAAATTATAGATACGTTGGAAACGTATCAGCCGTCACGGCACCACCGAGGGCGTCCCAAACCAGTCGAGGAGCTCTGCCACCCACATCCCGGGATCCAACACCGGTAGGAGCAAGCGACACTGACGAGAGGGGAACATCGCCAGGATCCTACACCGTCAAAATCTGACACCGGCCATGGGGGCGGAAGAGCCAGGCCGACACCAGGCGCATGCGACAACCAGTGGCAAGGGGGCGGGATAGGGGCCCTAAGATGTGTACAACAACTGGAGGCTAGGCGACATGTGGGAGGATGAGTTGGATGCTCCGTCGGTCGCGAGTTAGGGTTCCCTGCCGCCTCCAGGGAGGGCCGTGCAGGGGTCGTAGGGGGGCGGCTCGGACTCAGGACCGGAATTGCAAAACAAAACGAAATCCAGGGAACCGGTACATGAGTTGGGGAGTTGTGGTTGAATGGGAGCTGGTGTTGAACCATGGGGCTCCTCCTCAAGGAGCTGCCTGAAGGGCTTGGACGCGGCGCAAGTGACCAGAAAAGCACCGCAAGAGGATGCGTGCTTGGGTGTTGCGACAGCTTCACCAACGAAAAAGCTCCCAGTCACCGCATGTCCGTCGTCCTGATGGTGGTGTTGCTCCTGCGGCACCACCCTAGGTTCATCCTCCTCAGTGTTGCGGTCGCACGACATGCCTCTCTTGCCGACATGGCCGAAATATCGGATTGGAAGCCGTCGTTGGGTTGGGGTTCGGGAGAGGAAGAGATGGGATGACGGGGTAGATGGAGAAGCGGATGGAATTGGCTAGGAGGACGTCCCCACGATCACATGGGTCTGGGGAATGAGGCTGTGATTTGCGCAGCGATTTAGGAGAAGTTGCGTTCGTTGCAGCGGAGCACAAGTGTTGACACAGCAAAGAAGATTTTTATTGTAGGACGGAGCAGAAGGACGGAAGGTCGAAGAGATCGAGCGAAACGCATGAGCAACTAGAGAGGACACCTTGTGTCCTTTTTAAGTACTCCCACCGATCAATATTAATTGTGGCTCATTTAGCACATATATGGATCAGAGGGAGTAGTTTATAAAGATATTATTTTGGTTGCCACCGATGCTCTCTTAATGTATAATCAATACGAAAACAAGATGTTTAAACAAAAATAGATACCTTGCAACTTTGTTCCCTGTTCTAGGATTGCAAAGTTTGTTGCTACGTGGACAAATCGCACACATTGCTACTAGTATTACAGATTTACAGTGCAGGCAGTATCTTACAACAAATTTCCGCCCGTTTCCTCTCTCGCCCCACAAAACAATAACACTACGACTACATTGCTCAATAGAGAGATTATACACTGGAAAGACGGGCCAAAAATAGGCCGCTTTCTCTACACTCGCACACTACACCTAGCTACCTGTCCCAGGCTGATGCAAGCTGCGATTGCACAACATTCGATCAGCTCTCAGAGGGGATCCTCAGTAACATACATTCCATACGCTCAGGCTCAGCAGCACTGAGATTGAGAGGGAGGGCTTCTCTTGCCGAGAGAAGACATGACGCTGACAGCCTTCACCTTCTTCACAAGAAGCCCCCACCTGCCGTCGCTGCCGTCGCCGGCCTTCGCGGCCGCCGAAGCCGACACCGCCTCCTTCTGCTGCTCCTTGAGCTTGAACTGCCTGCATGATCAGACGAGATCCATGGCAACGTCAGACATGAGTTCAATTTGCTTATGCGTGAGAATGAGCAGAGCCGTGCGTTGGGGCAAATGAACTTACGTGCAGAGAGGGGTGTTGCAGTGGCCGTCGGGGACGCGGCAGAGCGCGGCGTGGAGGCGGAGCAGCTGCCACATGCGCTGGCACCGGGGGCAGGTGGCCCGGCTTTGGCACCGGGAGAAGTGGCGGATGAGCAGCTGCAGGCCCCGGCACGTCGCGTACGCCGGGCACGGCGAGTTGGCCGGCGCCTGCCCCACGGGTCCGACCTCCGTGCAGCCGTCCGTGCAGATGTGCCGCAGGATGTCCATGGCGTCGCTCAGCTCCATGTACACTTTCTGCTCCGCGCGCTTCCGACGCCACTTTCGCCGCCGCTGCACGCCAGAATAAAGTTTCCGTCAGTTCATCATACTCGCGAGCATGCATAAAAATTACTACCGGAGTAGATTGATCTCGACATGACGAACCAAAAACGTGTTCGACATTTTTGCAAACTTTTTAAATAGTGGAGTATCTTTGACGCTTTTTCCTAACTTTTGTCAAATCAAAAGTTTGATGGGCATATGCGGTCATAAGCAATAACCGTGACCGCTGGGACGAAAACGTTTGGCACGACCGTTTCGGAGATGTGAACATTCACCGGCCATTCCTCCACCCGGCGTGCTGTGGGGTGGACGTGGACGCACCAACCGAAACGACCTATGCAGGATGACGAGACCTCAAGCACCGGCCAAATCAGGCCCTCGCGTCATTTCTTAATGCCCACGAACGCGACATGGCGAGCACCTCCCGAAGCCGACCGGGCCGGGCGGCATGCATGCTCGCCATGTCTCCCAGTGCACGGCGCACTGAGACGTCGAGGGAGGCGGACCATCGATCTGTCGCTGCGCTTTGGAATGCATCATCTCATCTCGCCACCGCCCAAAGTGACACCCCAACACCTCTCGAGTGCCAACAGACATGATTTCACCGCATGAATTTTCAGAGGCAATAAGGTACGTACCATGTCGGCGTCGTGGAGCTGGCGGAGGACGTCGAGCTCCTGCCAGGGGTCGTTGTCGCGGAGGAAGCGCCATGCCTCGGTGCGCTCGACGGCGCGGAACTCCTTGGCGAGCAGGCGCATGCAGCGGAGGTGCAGCTGCGGCGCGTCGCAGAGGTCGGCCAGCTGCAGCGCGTCCACGACGGTGCCCGGCGTGAGCCGCGACCCGATGGCCTCCTGGCACCACCGCTTGAGCCACGGCACCCGGTACGCGTGCGCCAGCACCAGCAGCTGCTCCGCGTACCTCTCCACGTCCTCGTCCACTTCGCCCTCGCCACGCCTGCACGCCGTCCAGAATTCCCATCACCAAATTAGATGCTCGTGATTGATTTTTCCGCGTGTCCATTGGCCATCACCGAAAATACATACAAACAAGCAACTAGGAGTAGTAGAAGAACAGTTCGCGCTGTGAGATTGGACGGTCCCTGTCTCCACACCCACGAGTAGTAGCCAGCAGGCAGGATGATGGTGCCGGCGACAGCGACGACACATGCGGGTGGCCATGGAGGTTCCAACTAGGCAGGCGCTACCCCTAGCGCGCCCACCAACCAAGACCAAACAAAACACACAGGGAAAAGAAAGAACTTGCGGTGCTCGACGGCTCGCGCGCGCGCGCGCAAGTTGCCGGGGTTTTGCTTTTGCATGGCCCGGCTTGGGCGCGGCGAGGTTAAGGTTTATCTGTGTGTCGTCTCGCCTATCTTCTGACGAGGCAGAACTGGCGAGTTGGCAAGTTGGAGATAGCTAGGCGCCGCGACAGACAGGGACAGAGATTCTAAGATTCGCCTGTTCGTGTGGAGGTTGATAGAATCTACTCCCTCCGTTCGGAATTACTTGTTTCAAATATGGATGTATCTAAAACTAAAATACATTTAAATATATCCATTTCTATGACAAGTAATTTTGAACGAAGGGAGTACGATAGATCCCACCGGGCTAGCGGACGGAAGGGTCGATCTCAAGCATGCAAATTGTCGGGGGCGTGTGTGGCTCGGCGTCGGCCGGCGACCGGCGAGGCAAAGGGTTGCGAAACACTAGTATAGAAGAACTGGAATTCAAAGTTGTAGATGGGGAATTCGCATTGGTTTCTCGGTCCTACAGATGAACTCGGTCTTTCAAGATGCCAGCAAAACATACAAAAAATACTAGAACAATCCTAGAAAGAAAAAAGAAACAGCGTGTACTATTTGGTGTATTCATTCAATTATGGGAACATAATTTGGCTGGCAATTACTAGGACCGAGATGATGATTCTGAACGAAAACATGAAAAAGAAAGTTCTTTTTTTGGCAGCTATAGACCATGTGAGAGGCTATGCTGACAGCGTGGGGCACACACGCATGTGGCGTGTTTGTTACCCCTCCTATTCCTAATGATCTTTTCTCCTCGTGCTAATACTTAATGCCTACTACTATTACTGGGTCTGACCAGAGCATCAAGCTCTGGCTTACCCAGGGTCGCAAGAAACGCATGTGCGAAAAATAATAGCAGCAGCAATTCCAGGGAGGAAACAGCAGAGGCGGTACCTGCTGCCGGCGTAGAGGAGGCGGACGAACGCCGCCGCGACGTGGTCGGTGACGCCGCGGACCCGGACGACGGCCCTGCCGCCCTTGCCGCTCTCCCTCAGCCTCTGCAGCCGGCGCTCCAGGGTCGTCTCCAGCACCGGCGACGCCGACGCCTGCTCGATGACGCCAACAAAGAAACAAGAATAAATATCCCCCCTTCAGAACTGAAATTTTCAGACGACCGAATCGCATACACACGCCGTCTCCTGAATCCTGATCGCTAGCATCGGAATTCACGGACCGCGTCCGCGTGCCGGCGGGCGGGGTAATGCGGCGAGAAATCAAAGGGGACGGAGAAAGGATGGCTTACAAGAACGGAGGAATGGGCGGCGATCTTGCGGCGGCCGCTGGAGGTGACGACGTCCACGTCGGCGGGGGCGGAGGCGCCGCCGCCGCCGCCGGCTGCCCGTGCAGGTGCCTCCGGCATGTCGCGCTAGGGATAACTAGGAGAAATTGCGGCGGAGGAGGAAGAAAAGCGCAGGGGCGAAATATCTGGGAAATGTCGCGGCGTGCGTGTGGTGTTGGTTTCGGGGGAGGGAGGCTCAACTCTGCGCCCGTTCGAGCGCTTATATAGAAAGCCGGCGGGGAACGGAATTATGGGACCCGCTGCAAAAAGTGCGGTTTTGTAATATTGCCCTCTAGAGAAACCGTATTCCCAGGGATGTCATGGGCACGGTCGCTGATCTTTGTTTGGAAGATCGGGGAAAGATCGGAAGATTTCTGCGGCTCGGTTGTACCATGTCGATCAGGTTGTGGACGAACACGTAGGCGACAGGTGTGTCAGTGCTGACCGAAGAAAGAATTTGCCATGGAGAAATAAAACTCGCTGCACGTGAGCCTCATATGAACATTATTTTCAAGGGGAAATTATATCGGCCTCTGCACGGTACTCACTTATTATTTTTCGAGTATTGTTTATAGTCGTGGACTTAAATCCCCCATTTCTTTAACCGGCAAGTTATTGGAACCATTATGTGATGCAGATTGATTTGTGCCTATAAGTTTTTTGTTTACTTTGTGAAGAAGCACTAAACGCCAGGTGTATCTTTGCTAGCGGAAGAAAATAGATTGTGTCCAGATGATAGAGCATTTTTGTACACCCACATGGATCGGAGGATCTCCACATATTTGCTCCGAAAAATAATAAGCAAAGCTGTGTTTTTCTTCAACGAAGAAAATGGAAGTATATTCTTTCTAGGAGATTGTTAGTTTTGTTCCATAGTAATAGGATTACTTTCCACTAGTACATACTCAAAACAAGCAATATAAACACGCGGCACAACCAACAAGCAGCGCTACCATCAAAACGATCATTATCTAGCCTATGGGCAACCCTATTAGGACCACCGGATCCCTCCTCTGCAACCACCGCCATCGCCGCACCTTCCTCCCGTCGCCGCCGCCCGAGGCACCCACCGGCAAAGTCTGGATAGCTCCAGGGAAGGTGGTGGCAGGGCCCTTTTCTGGCTGCTCGGCGTTGGTATAGCAGCCGCGATCCATGGATCCGGTGTCGTGGCTCCCTGGTGAGAACTCCTCGTCCGATGGCGGCGTCGTGGAGGACGGGTCGATTGCAGGCGTGGTCTCTCCTCCGGTCAAATCTGATTTGGCCGAAGTGGCCTGCTCGCCGCGTGGTGGCGGAGATCGGTGGCGGTTCCGTGCAAACGGTGTGGGATGGAGGCACATCGAGCAGATCCAAGTGAAACCCCTGCTCTCGACTAGTTTCCAAGGTCGGCGATTGCGGCGTCTTCTGTGTCGTCCCCTCTTGAAGGCATCATAGTGGAGAAGCTCCACACCTATATCAGATACCTTCGAGGAAACACTAGATCGGTCGATCGGATGACAGCGGCGCTCTTGTGTCGTTCCTCCCTTGGTGGCGTCATTCTTGAAGGTGTGCATTGGCTCCAGGAACTAGTGGCCGATTTCAACGGTGGAGCGGTGTTTCATGTGACGCATTGACGACGTGGAGTCTCGACGGTGTGGCGCGGTATGGTCTCGGCGACAGAAGTGTGGTGATGGACACGCGCAGGGAAGTGGCGCCGTTTGGCGCTGGTGGTGGCATCGATGGCAGGCCTGACAAAGTCGACGCGTCAGTACCTTCTCTTAAGATGGATTGGTGGAAGACGGGGGCGACGACTCTGCAGCGTGCGCATGCGAGTTTCGCTGAGAGTGGGCCGAACCGGTGTGTGACCCAGACTCGGCATTCGGCTTGATTAGCGCATCCGTCTTTAGATGTGTGGACTTTGGTGTGAGGTCTGGGTTTACGGCCCCGACAATATGCACCCCTTCATCCAGTGGATAGGAGTAGCGGTAGTTGTTGCACAAGATGGTTGCTTCAGACGTATTGATGTATTACTTTGTAAGGTCTTGATGAATAATCAATAAAATTGTTGTATGCATCGTCCTGATGCAGAGGCCGAGGTCATCCTTCTTTTCAAAAAAATGTGCAACCCTATTATGGTGACGATCATTTTTTTTCCACGAAGACTATGGCGGGCAAAAGCTGGCCCGAACCATTTTCATATATATTCTATAAAGAACATGATACCACGTCTATAGCATGTAGGGCTCGGCATCCACAATAAGGAACATGAAAAAAAAGAGAACCAGAAAACTTAGAATCATCACTAGGCGAATCGAGAAGAACGGACACTAGCAGTGTTATATCTTTCGAAAGGAGATCCGACACAAGAAGGCGTAGAGAATTAGTGTTCCGCTACCCCTGAGACCCATGTGCGCCTTCAAGAACTAGGAGAGTTACAAACCACCATCAAACGGCTTGGCGCTACCTAGCCACGACACGACAAAAGAGAGTTGTAGACCGTGGCGAGGAGCATTGTTCCACCGATATAACCCTGCATCTCCTCTAGGACACACCACAACCACCATCACAAATAGAGAGAACCATAGCACTATGTGAGGCAACAAAACCTCAAACGACGTCGAAGGGAGCCGAACTTTGACACCTCGCCGCCACCACCATACACTCCAACATATCGACCATGCTCCAACTGAGATATCAAGCAATCAACAACGGATACATGTGTCCAAGACAACACCCCTGGGGGTAAATCCAATCCAGAGAAGGATTTGAGGCTTTCGCCCGAGGCACACCATTGATCGGGGTGTGGAAGCTCCACTATGATGCTTCCAAGAAGGGAAGGGACGCCGGAAGGCTTCGCCATAATCGATGTCGACAAGGGTGGGAGAAGGCTTTCGCCTGAAGCATCGCATCCCGGACCTTATTGGTTAAGTACAATTTTACTCCATTTTTTGTTCTTTGTTTCCCTTGTTTCGAACATGACATGAGTGATTTTGATTTCCCCTCTCCCTCCGTTTGCCTCCCTGTCATGGTTTGGTTGCTTATCCTTTAGTACAAAGAACTTTCATACCATGTTGATGGATTAACGCTTGTGAAAAAAAAATGCTTGATTGATTTGCGGAGAACCACTAAAGGTGAGGTGTATCATTGCCACGAAAGGCTAAATTATTTTTGTGTAGATGTACATGGACGGTGGATCTCGACATATTTGCTTCAGAAAATTGAAGAACAATGGAAGTGTTGACAAAACAAACCAAAGCCTTTTACCTTTCCGCCGCTCATACCAACCGAAAACCATGTAACATAATGGTTCTTTCTCTTCTTCTTCTTTTGCGCGGGTGGAGGTGTTCTCTCTCTCTCTCTTTCTATACAGTTTCCTTTCTTTCGCTCAGGTAGAAAGCATCAGCTTCGGCGCATGCACCGGTAAGCTTGCCACTGACTATAATAGCCCACCGTTACCCGTCCCAAAGTACACGAACGGAATGATCACGCGCACATGCAAGAAACGGCATCATCGGCCGCAGATCCAGTGATGATACGGGTGCAGTTGAGTGGCCTACACGAGCAGGGCCAAAACCAGGGCTGCTGGCCGCTAGAGAGTACAGACAGACGGAGAGAACGCCAACAGGAAGGAAAAAAAAAATCAAACGAAACCTGAGTGCATATTTGTTCAGTACTCCGAGGGGCCAAACGCGAAGTGAGCAAGCTGACGCGAGTGGTGACGTCCAGGGGCCGCGCGCCGACGAGGAGCGACGAGAGGCTGAAACGGCCCTTGGAACCAGCAAGCGCCACATGGGCCTCGACGTGGAGGCCGCCCATGGGCCCCGCGAGTCGGCAGGCCCGTCCTCATCCGCGTCTGGGGCCCAACTGCCGGACGAGACTTGCCTGCTCCCCTCTCGTGTGTCCATCCGTGCTCCCGCATACGTAGCTTGATTTGATTGAAACAAAATAAGGCTTGGCCCCACCCCTTAAAATCAGGGGGAAAGATGATTAGATTAAAAAAAAAAGACAGTCGTTGGATGAGGTGGGAGCATGGATGGCAGCACGGGAAGGGAGCAGGCAAGCCCGATCCCCAACCGCCTGCGACGGAAAGGCCCGACAGCCATGTCACAGCTCAGCTTCAGGCACACGCAAAAAAAAACAAAAAAAAAAACTCAGCCTCAGGCCCCGTCTACCGATCCGAGCTAGGTACGCTCGTCGTCGTCGATCATGGGCATGGCCGAGTCTTGGCTTCACGCCGCGTTGCTATCCGGGGAAGGCCGGGATCGATCAAGCGGCGGCTTGATCCGTCCGACGTGGCCGCGGTTAGTTTACGGCGACAGTACCTAGTCAGCGGGTGCCTCTGTTGTTGGAGCCTGGGGGGCTGGTTGAGCCACATATGACATATCCATGCCATGCATATGAACCGATGTAGTAGTACGTACGTATACTTAGGAGGAGGAGGAGGACGTGGCGAGTAGGGTCAGGGTTATCTGCTGCTAATTACCATGTTTGTCTGTTGCACCACTAGCATCTAGTACTAGTGTCTGTTTACATGGCGCTTTAGTTGCAGGTGTGACAATTTATGTAGTCTTTCTGACCGAAGGGTCGTTTACTAGTCTTAACATTGCACTTTTGAGCACTTTTCTGCTGAGTGATGTCCTTTCGGGGTCTCGGAAGAACTATACGCTGGTGCTAGTGATATTCGTTAACAGGCCTGACATGGAATCAAGTGTGAAAATCTACTGTAATCTTGTCGAGGGAGAGGGACATTTGCTGTTCTTAGCATGCACTTTTGTGCACTTTTCTGCTCACTAGATTTTGAGCCCCCTTTTTGCATGGTGCCCTTGGGGGTCTCCGAAGAGCTATATGCTGCTCTTGGTGATTTTGTTCCCTTGTGCGTACTTTACTCGGTCCAGTGCCTAATATAAGAATCGCAGTTCTTTTTCTTTTTCTAGTGGGAACGAAGAATTGATGTGTCAGTACGTGAGAGTGGTTTGTCGGATGAGGCGACAGTTGCTGCCTCTGGTCCTTTTTACTCTGCATATTAGGTTTGTCCAAAGTCAATCTTATTCAACCTTGACCAAGTTTATATAAAAAATTATAAACATTCACATAACAAGACCAAT